CTACATTTTTTCTTTTCTTTTTCCATCTTTATTCAATAATAGTTTAAAATTCTTGTTTTGAAACATTGCATATATCTTGCTGGCTTTGCTGTTTTTGCTGTTTTGATGGAAATCTGAATTTCAAAATAACTGAAACATTTATCATTTCTTTCCAGGGGAGTATACTTGGGTGTGTGTGGGGGTAGAAATTATAATCTGAAAAATTTGCAAAATTTCAAATTTTTATTGCAATATTAAGCTATTAAGCAAAAATTGTGCAAAAACAAAACATGTGCGAAATATGATAACTTACACATTTTTGAAAAGCTCTTACCATGACGAATTCAAATATGCAAAAATATTTGCAAAATTGTGAAATGCAAATCTGTATTTAAGAAGAACTGAAAATGTGCAAATTCTCTTCAAAGGCGTATGTTCCTTTTGAGCAAGGCTTTCCAAAGAGCTATAATAAGTCGAAATTCAATGACCGGAAGAAGGTTTAAATATAAATTTAGTCGGGTAAAGGTAAAATAAGGCATTAAGGCAATATGCCTCAGGACTCAGGCAGTGGGTATAAAAGCCCCGGTTTGAGCCTAAAAGGGAGGAACATGTGCCAGTTAGAAAGGTCAAAAAATTTCAACAGTCTCAGACCAATACTATTTGAGTTTATCTCAAAAAAACGTCAGGGGTGTCCCAGGGACCCCCCCTCCAGCTAGAATAGGGTTACCCCAAATCTTCAAAAATCACCCCCCCCCCTGTCTAAAAAGCAAATAGATTGATTTAAGGAATTATATTTGTCTAATTGTAATTTATTTTTTACTTTAAGTAGAAACTTTTAAATTTACATTTTAAGCATATAATAATGGATTTCAGCAGAATTATCTTTATCTATATAAAATAATTATAAGGATTCAACCATTGTTTTATTATTAAAGTTATACCGACTGTTAACAAGAAGTTGAATTTTAAAAATTATTCAAGCTTATCTTTAAAATTTTATTTACTTTTGCTTTAATACTTTATATTCATTTTTGCATTGTTAACACACAGTATCAAAGCTCATAAAATGTCAGCAAATAAAATTATAAGGAATTTTTTGATGAGAAAAAATTCCCAAAGCAATATTTTAAAGTTTTACTTCAACAAACTTATTAATAATATAAAGTTTTTTTTATCATCTTTAAGTGTACACAATAACTCAGACTTAGATAGTTACAAAGATTATGTAGATATATTTAGAAAAATATATATCAAATAATATTAAAATATGTTTTATGTTCTCTTTGTTCAGATAAAATCCACAAAAAATAAATTTTTATTAAAGGTTTACGAAATTATATGATGAAATTATTCAATTGATAATTTTTGTACATATAGTTTTTGGAATATTTTTTAAGATCTTTTCAACTTTGAAAAATTGTAAAAAAAGATTTGAATTAATCTTAAATCTCGAAGCTGTAGAAAAAGCCGGTCAAATATTTTGACTTCCTTTTCTTTTGTCGAGATAAAGAACTTAATTTATTCCTCACAATTCTAAACACAGGGGAAACTATTATTTTCAATCCCCCCCCCCTCGTACCGGCCGACAAAAAAAATTACATGTCCAACTTAAACAACTACTCTTTTAATATTATGTTGAACAAAAATTATGCTTGATATCCATATTGTTTTATCTTAAACTGTGATACCCTTTAAAATCAACTTTCGGGAATTATTCTGCAGAAACAGGGAAGAAAATTGACAGACTTTGTCTCTAATTAAAGTAGAAAAAGGAGGTATCTTCGTTATTGTTAAAAGATAGGTTCAACTATAGCTTTAGACTTAAAGTAAAGTTAAAAGCTTGAGATTTTATAAAAGAAATTGAAAGTTGAAAGATTAAATAGTAAATTGAATTTACAGATGTGACAGAGGCAAAACAGAAATGAAAGCATTAAATTTAAGCTTTTTAAAAATGTATTAAATTCCAATGGAAGGGAACTGCTTGTTTGCCTCAAACTCTATTTGTCTAATCCTTATATCAGTACAACCTAATGTTTTAGACCTTGATATTTCAAACTATGAATTCTCCTAAACAAGTACTGGAAGCTTCTATTAGGTTCCATATACATATATATATAGAGAGAGAGAGAAAATAAGAGTTTGAGGCGAAAACAGTTCTTTTGTAGAATTAAAGAACTGAGTTCTTGCCACAAACTCTGACTTTTCATTTTTCAATCTTTTATATATTTGCAACCCTATGTCGTAGATTTTTCAAACAGTAAAATCCATTAGATGAATTTGTAAAACTTTTAAAGTTTTACACCATTAGATTCCAAAGATATAAAGAAAATTAGAGAAATCAGTTCTAATGTATAATTAAAGGAATTGAGTCTTTGCCGCAAACTCAAATTTTCGAATCCCTATATTTTGGCAACTTGAAGGTGTAAACCTTTAATATTTCAAACCTTTATTATTTGATCTAACATAATTCATAGTTTTAAATATATAAGGTCTATGGCATTGGGTTGCCAAGATATAGGGATTAGAAAATCAGAGTGTGTGGCAAAGACTTCATTCCTTTGTGACAATAATTTACCAAGAATGAATCAAGATCCAATCATTCCTAAGTTTGTTTACTCTGCTTCCCAGGTTAAACGAATGCAAAAGATAAGGTTTCAACAGGGTTGTTAATTTTCTACTTAATTAAATTCAAATTTTCTAATCATTTTACCGCTGCGAAAAAAAGAAAATTTTGTGGATTGTTGAAAATAATAAAATCTTGAATAAAAGTTAAATGCTTGAAATCCATGTTTTTCTACCAGAGCAGATCCTGGAACCGAATCGGTCTCAAAATAAAACATTTCTTTGATGGGGGGTGGGGGGTATCCACACCCATGATGTATTTGTGTGTAAACTGGTTAACGTGTGGGTTAGTATATTGATTTTGAAGTCAACAAACTCAATATATACAATGTAAACACTTCTAGACAACGGGGGGGTGGGGGGGGGGAAATCTCTAAATAATCTTGATTTTAATACAGGCCTAGGCCTAGGGTACAAAGATATCAATATGTCATGGACTTTAGATCACTGTAAAATACGCATATTCTACAGGTTTTTTCCAAATACACTTTTCAAGCAAGAAATAAGTGAAATTTATAATCCAGGGCTTCTAAAAGTCTAAAAGTGAATTTCTAATGTCAAGACAAGGGTAATGGCCTGGCAGCACTTCAAAGGCGATCCGGTCCTAAAAGTTGATGCACAAGTTTCATACCTGTTTCGATCACTTTTAGATCTTAAGAATAGAGGTCGGATTTTTGTCAAAAGCTGAACTATTAATTTAAAATTTTAAAAATCTTTTTTTCCCCGCAGATGTCGGGTATGTTTGATTTTTTTAGGGCTTTAATCAGTAAATTTTGGGGAAAAAATGATTTTTAGGAGAAAAGAAATAAATAAATTTGCCTTTTGATATCTAATGTATCTTCATGTACTGACACATTGCATGAAATATTAGTTATGTTTAAACAAAATCTTAATGTAAACAAATTGTTAATGCTCAAATATTTTTAATAATATTTTAAAATTTTATCAGGAAAACTTAAATTAAACAATGAACAATTCTCAAAAATTAGATCTATTTTAGAGGGAGGGGGATGTTAGGCGGGGTTTTATAATTTTATTCTAAAATTTTTACTTAAAAAAAGAGAAACATTTACAGATTGGGATTTTAATATAATATTTTCCAGATTGTAGATTTTACAGAAAAATATATAAAAAAAAACATTTTACAGTATGGGATTAAAAAAAAACATTTTCCAGAATTGTGCTTTCCTATCGCCCTTCATGAGGGGGCTTTTGTACTGCATGTTTTTCCCTATTTGTTTAGTTAAAATTTGTAAACCAAATCAAACAAAGATATATTTTTGTTAATCATTCATAATTCTCTTATCTTTTAAATAAAGAGCAAAAACTATACCTAGTTAAAACATTATTTGTATGAAACAGAGAAAAAAATTAAGTATTTTTAATTTTTTAATTTAAAATTGGATTAAAATAATTTTTGTATTTTAAAATTTGTGATCCATCGAAAACTCAAAATCTTATAAATAATGTGAAAAAATGAAAATTATTTATGCATTAGTTAGTGCTTGAACTGGGCACGAATAGTTGTACTAAATGTCTAGTTTGGACACGATTGCACTGGAGAAATAGTTTTACTAGACGTTCATAGTTCAACTAATTTTAGCTGTACAAATAATCTTACCTCCTATTATTCTTATATCTTCAGACAAATATGAAATTTTTGGCAAATTTTTTGTTTATTCTAAAGGGTGTAAATAGTAAATGGTGTACATCAATTTATTCTGATTCGCCCTGTTCAATATTTCCATGTGTAGCTTTTGAAGCGTTGGTTTTAATCTGCAGTGAGGGGTATTGGGAGGGGAAGGAAGGGGGATTTTGGCTATCCTGGAATCTATATTCATACCAGGCTATTCTATTCGATTCTATATATTCACTCTTCTGGTTGTTCAAAGTGTTCAATTTTTTCAATAGTTTAAAAGCTAGTCTACTAGTTTAATAGTTAATTATACTCCTAGTCTTTTAGCTTTCCTTTTTTTCTAGTCTATAGTAAAAAAAAATCGTATAGCCGAATAGTCGAATAGTCGAATAGTCGAATAGTTGGATAGTCGAATAGTCGAATAGTCGAATAGTCAAATAGTCAAATAGTCAAATAGTCGAATAGTCGATTAGTCATTAGTCAATTTGTCATTAGTCGATTAGTCATTAGTCGATTAGTCATTAGTCGATTAGTCATTTAGCCGATTAGTCATTAGTCACTAACTCGAACTAATTTGCCAATCAAAACAACCTGTACTGGTTGGGTGGGTTCAAACAACATATAAAGTTGTAGTTGCTTGTTGGTATTGTTTTATGCTGTGAAATAATCATAAAAACAATTCAATTCAATAATGGTATACCTTTTTCAGGTTTAAAATAATGGTATACCTTTTTCAGGTTTAAAATAATGGTATACCTTTTTCAGGTTTAAAATGCACGTTCCTAGCGAGCTGAAAGAACGGACGAAAACAGTGTAATAACTAAAGTGAGAGCCACGGAAAGACTATATTTATTATTTTAACAATCTGAAATGAATTAGATGTGTTTGTAAAGCAAAAAGATTAATCAGTTAATTGAAAATCAATTTATTTAGTGAAATGGGTCTGTGTACACTGCACAATTGCTGTGTTTCATGTTCATTGAACCAGTGCTTAGAATCGATTTAATTTTGATGCGAATCCGGATCCGGATCTGCAATGGAAAAAAATATCCGGATCCGGATCCAGGTTATTTCTTTAAAATGTACTGAATTTTTTTTAACAAAGCAGAAGTTTCAATTTTTTTTCCTTATTTTTTTCGCTTATTTTTATGCTAAAATTTGACCATTCAGAAATCAGGAAATTTTTATGATCTCCCTTTTTTCATTAGTTCCATGGATCCGCATAGTTTTGCGGATCCGGATCCAGGAAGCCAAAATCTTGCGGATCCAATGGATCCGGATCCGGATCCTAAGCACTGCATTGAACTATTCAAAACCATAACTTTAATAAACACTCGTCTTCCTAGTCCACAATTTTATGGGTCCTATTGTAGGAATGATGAACCCATCCTGAAGTATGAAGAAGATGGTGGTCCTCTGCCTGGTGGGGCTCCTGGGCCTCCTGGGGATGGGGGTGGAGGGAGGGAAGAAGGTCGCCACGGTCCCTCTGTTAGAAAACTGTAAAAATATTCCGGTTGGACAGAAACAGCGGACCAAGGTGTTGTTGGGATACCTCACTGCTGTCACAGGAACTGTTACAAACAGACAGGTGAATGGACAAAACACGAGGAATTATCATTCTTCTCTTGGGGGGGGGGGGGGGCATTTTCGAAGATTTCGGGAAGAAATGTTTGTAAAGATTTGTTGTAGCAATGAAAAATTAGTTTTTCCCAGGTATTGTTCGATTTTTTTACCCATGAACTTATTCCCATTAGAACAATTTATTTTCGAAATTATGCAATTTATGTATATTTTCATAAGCGGGCGGGTAATGATTGTTCAAGATTATTTCGGCCATTGTTGTTCCTGAAAATTTACCCCCCCCCCCCATTTCGCATAAAAAGGAATCAAGTCTTTGCCACAAACTCAAACTTTCTTATTGCAATATCTTTCCAACAAAGACCTTTTATATTTCAAATTATAAATGTTGTTAGATCAAATAATATAAGTTTGAAATATCAAAGTTTTACACCATCCAGTTGCAGAGATATAGGGATAAGAAAATTGTAGTTTGTGGCAAAAACTCAATTCCTTTCTTGATTACCGAAAAAAAGTATTAAAAAAATTGAAAAATCATGCTTCATCTCATCTTCCTTTTTTTCTCAAAGCTTCAAGAATCAATACCTCTTAATCTTGTTTTATAACAAGAAGAAAACGTTTATAATCAACACTCAGTGAAACTAAAAAAGTAAAGAAGTTAATCACCACAAAATGAGAAATAGATGAGAAAAATTCAAAATATGGAAAGCTAAAATAAAATTGAAATCAATTACAAAAAACTTGATCAATCAAAATAATTAGAAAAAAAGTTTATTGCCAATACTTTTAATTAAGTTGTTCATGTGAAACCTTTTTTTTATAAAGGACAAGTCACAGTTTATAATATACATGGGGGGCTCAGCCTTGATTTCCCAATAATGATGGTTGACTGATTATTTATTAGTTAATTTATATATTTACTTATTTTTTGTATATATTTCATTGAATGATTGGTTGTATGTATGCTAAAATAATAATATATAAGAGGCTTTTAGGGCGCTTCGCACCCACCTAATAACAATTTAAGATATTGACTTTTAAACTTTAAAAACTGTCAATTTTCAGTGAACTCACATTTTTAAAAAGTTTTTATTTTCCAGAAGTAAGGAAGGGTTGCGCGGAGCGTCAAATATTTTTCTAGGGGGAAATTATGAAATTTTGGAGTTAGCTAATTATAAGAATGAAAAAACTTGGCTTTAAATGTTAATAAATTTTTTTCATTGTTTTCCCTTAAAATAATTGTAAAATTGTACACCCCTGTGTTTTATAGGGTAGAGCTGTGTCTGGTGCTCTGAAGTATGCCGTAGAACAGATAAATAATTGCTCAACACTTCTTCCAGATGTAGAGCTAGAGTTTATATATAATGATACACAGGTACACTTCACAGGGACAGACAGTTTCATTCCGTGATTTTGTCCATTAATGAAAATCTCTGTCAGGTTTTGAACATATGCGCCTATCATGAATTTTAATTTTTTTGATAATCATTATCATCATTATCATCATTATCATCAATATCATCATTATTATGTTTATCATCATTATCATCATTATCATCATTATCATCATTATCATCATTATCATCATTATCATCATTATCATCATTATCATCATTATCATCATTATCATCATCACTATCATCACTATCATCACTATCATCATTATCATCATTATCATCATTATCATCATTATCATCATTATCATCATTATCATCACTATCATCACTATCATCACTATCATCACTATCATCACTATCATCACTATCATCACTATCATCACTATCATCATTATCATCATTATCGCCTCACAAAAACAAGTTTTGGTATAAAATTTGGAGTCTCAAATAAGTAGCACTTTTTTACTTTTTCTGAAAGAATTTGTATTAACATATTAAAACAAGTTTGTAATTTACAACTCATGTTAACTTGTAAGAGATTAATTGGAAACCTTTTGTAAAAACTATTTAAAACTTTTTATATAAAGGGAATGGTCCTGAAATCCTCGTCAGTGCTGGTCGACCATATCTGTGATGATATAGCGGCGTTTATTGGTAAGAACAGAATTTATTGTTTAAAGGGAATGTAAGCGTAATTTCAATGCAACGATGGCAACGTTCGATTCACAATGGTACCCTTAAAACCTTTATCTGATCAATAATGTGGAAGATATTGTCGTTTTTCTAGTTAATTCGAATTCTGCAATATAAATGACAAGTTACTGACGTAAAGAAACAGCAATTGAAAATAATCAGTTTTCAAAATTTTATATAATTGATCAGACAAAGCTTTTAAGGGTACCAATGTGAATCGGGGTTTGCATGGAGGGTCACTTCGAAATATGCTTACAGTCCCTTTTAGGTCATCATTGATCATATCCGTCTGTAGTTAACGGTTCAGAAAAGCCGAATCGGCTCCGAACATCTTTTTTGTTTTGATTGATATGTTCTTAAATACCCATTTTCAACATTTTTTATAGTAACGAGTAAAGAGTGTTATCCAAAAAAGGTGAAATTTGAAAGACGACCTTGAACTCTGTAAATACCATGCTTAATAATAATTAGTTCTTCGAAATTGATATATATTATTATATATTTGAAAAGGGGCTAAAAATCCGATTGATGCAGAAATGAAATTTATTTTTTTTATTTTTTAAGAAATCAATTGTCTGGCTTGATCCTGCAGAAATAAATGCATTCAAATAAAATTCCAGATACGCATTTAAAAAAATCTAAAAGTTTTTTCTAAAAGTTTTTTTGGTATTAAATTTATAAAAATTCATAGTCTAAAATAACTGAAGTCTTTTCAATTCTTCTTTTATCTAAAGAAAAGTCTTCATAGTTATAATATTTTCTGGTCATTTTGGTGATATTGATATTTTTTTATTAAAATGTTTCTATTTACTTTTGAACTAAAAATCATTCAATTTCCCCAATATTTCAGGAAAACCCTAAAAAACTGATTCCTAGTTTAAAAGTATAAACCGATTAATGATCATACATTGTAATCTAATCTTAGTAACCGATTGATTGATTGATTGATGGATTGATTATTGATTGATTAATTGATTAATTGATTAATTGATTGATTGGTTGGTTGATTTATTGATGTATTAATTGATTTATTGATCTAAGGTCCTGAGGGGCCCAGCTGTAATACTGAAGCTATGCTGGCTGCAAGCAAAAACAGAGCTATGATATCATACAGGTAATCTTTCTATAGGATTATTATCATTATTATAATTATCAATGTTAACTTTATTATTATTATTAACATTATTATCTTTATTACCATTATTACCAGAATTGCCATTTTTATTATTATCATTATAATCATTATTAACATTACTATCATTGTTATCATCATTATCATCATTATCATCGTTATAATCATTATCAAATTCTCATTCTTACCATTATTATCATCATTTTCATCATTATCAGTATTATCATTATCATCGTTATCATCATTATCATCGTTATTTTCATAAACATAAGTTTTATCCTTATCATCGTTATTATTATAAATATTAGTATTATCATTATCATTATTTTCATTGTTATTATCATTATCATTATCATTGTTATTATTATAAATATCAGTATTATCATTATCATCGCGTTATTTTCAAAATGATCATATTAACAATCTCTAATCGAGTTTCATAAAAATGGATTAAATTAACAAAAAAAAGAACAAATTACGAAAATTTTGCTTCAGTAAAAACAAATTAGAAAAATTAAAAAAATATTTTTGAGCTAGATCTGAATTTCGGATTCTTATATTTTCTGTTTTATATTTTTCTTTTAAAAGAATGTTTAATTTTAGATGCAGTGATCCCGAGGTATCAGACAAATCTAAATATCCAACCTTCACTAGAATGGAGCCAACAGACACTCAGGTATGCCTCCCTTTCCCCCATCATNCCCTTTCCCATTCACAATTGTTTAAAAGGCCAGTTTGTGGACATCAAGTTTAACTCTTTAACTATATTTTTTCTTTGAATCTGTCAGTTTACAAAATATGATATACATAATACATAATAAATAGTAAAAAAATGATAAATTTCTATGTTGAAAACAAGAGGAAGTCTTTAAGTTTTATTTACGTTTACAGCTTTAAAGGGACTGTGCGTTTCTTTGTTATTTTAAGTGATCCCTCAGTTTAAGAGTAGCATCTGCGTTTCACAGAGGTGCACATGAAACCTTTCATCAATAATATGTAAGATTAAGTTTTTTAGTCTAAGAAGGTTATAATTCTGGTAATTTCCTCCATTGTCTCTAATTTAGAATTGTCCAAGTTACTACTTATTTCTTATAGAAACCACGATAAAGAATAATAATTTGTTAAAGAGATAATATTGGACAACCCTTGTAAGGGAATCGTAGTTAATCCGACATGCCATTCTTAATGGAGATTCATTTCAGTTTACGACCACAGTTCCTTTAAATAAAGTTATTTTTTATTTGAATTGTCCCAAATTAAATTCTTTTCTGTGTTTAAAAGATGTGCAGTATAAAAAGTTTTATCTAGGCTGATGAGGCATAAAGTAAAATTTAATTAGTTTTGGAATTTAAATTGAGAAGTCGGAAAATGAAAAAAAAATCTGTTGAAACTTTTCATAGATTAAATAGTTAAAATAGGAGTACACGGGTAAATATACACCTGAGCTCGCCGGGGGGGGGGGGGGGGGGGGGTCCACAGTGCATTCAATAAAAACACAACAAAAATTAAGGTTTTTTTAAATTTAAGGTTACAACGAGTGTATTATCCCTGTTAAAGTATCATCAATGGTTCAAGTTTACGATTGTTGCGCAAAAAACTGATCAATGGATTACCATCGCAGAGGATCTCAAACGACAAGTTTCCATTCGAGAAGAGTTCACGGTAAGTCGGGGGGTGGGAGGGATGGCAACCGCAACCACCAGGAAGAGGGTTGAAGGGAGGGACGGTATGCCGCAAAAATTTAAATCGGCACCGGTCATAATGTTTCGCGGAAAGCGCGCTTATGAACTTGTAATTATAAACCGCCAGGGCTAACAACGGTTTGATATTTTAAGGGCCTTAACAAATTATTTAGATTTTACCCCCTTTTTTTACTCTTTTGGCAGAAAAGGGTAAGAAAAGTTGAGGGCGATTAAGAAATCGTATTTACTTAAAAAAGAATAAAAAAATCTTGTTAAAGATGAAAATCAATCTTCCTGTGTATGGAGATAAACCTGAGAACTTTAAAGCCTCGTAAACCTGCAATATTATTACCTATTGTCTTTTCAAGTTCAGGGAGGGTTAGTAAACATGAACTTGAAACTTTTGAACGAACAGATGAGTTTAAACTGAGTTTAATCACAGAATCTAGAGTTTTGAACGAAGAGAGATTGAGTTTAAAGGGAGTGACTGGCAATGTATGTAAGTTGAACTGAGAATGTAGTATTGTTGATAATTGTTTAAGGAATCATTTGAGACCTTTGAGACGATTTTACGGTGCATATTTGTGCAGCAAGAGCGCAAAATCAGTCTTTAAAATCCAATTAAATTGTTAATTTTTTAGGGATGATAATGAGAATCGGTTTTTTTAAAATTATTCAATAACAACGACGAAAAATGTAGTAAAATTTCTATAGTAAAAACGTTTTCTGTCGATTTCCAGAAATTTTTATTGAAAAGACGATATTTGAAGAATATGAAGACATCTGCGAACAAATTCATAAAGAATAAGAAATTCAACATAATGATGGAAAAGAAATAATTCATTCTAACTTTGATTTTTTAGAAAATTTCAATCGAGAAATATGTTCTTAAACATCTAATTAGTTTACTTTTTGTACATTTTTGGTCGTCGTTATTTAATAATTTTAAAAAATCACTTTCAAAACGTAACCACCCAAATGGATGACTTTAAATGTCGGTTTTGCGCTCAAACTCAGTAATTAAACATCATTAAAACGTTCCATACGTCTCAAATGAATCCTAAAAAATTTCTCCACAATACTACTTTCTCAGTTCAACTACCATACATTGCCGGCCACTCATTTTAACTCATAGGCCTCGTTCAAAAGTTTGTGTTTGGAAGAACAATGAATAAATTTTTTTAAAAATTTTGCTTAAACTTGCCTACTTCTTAAAAAATAAAGAACTTTCAGACATTTTAAAAATTAATCCAAAATCCGGTAATAATAGGAAAGGGGGGGATTTGTTTAATGTAAAAATAGCTTAGATATTTATATATAATTTTGTTAATAATACTTGTCCCAACTTTTAGTTATATGCATTGTTAAAAAGTTGTAAACATTTAGTATCAAAGAAAAGTTTTAGATTCCTGAAAACTAAGCTTTCTTATCTTCCACTTCCAGGAAACATAACTTTCAGCCAGGTTTCAGATCTAAAATATTTAAATCATAGTTTTTTTTAAAGTTTTCATTTTTTGCCCTTCCAGATCTTTGGGACTTCTTTTCTTTATCATTGTTTCATTTTCCAAATTCATCCTTCTCTGTCTTATCCTATCATATCCTATCTTATCCTATCATATCCTATTCTATCCTATCCTATCCTTTTCTATCCTTTTCTATCCTTTTCTATCCTATCCTATCCTATCCTTTCCTATCCTATCCTATCCTATCCTATCCTATCCTATCCTATCCTATCCTATCCTATCCTATCCTATCCTACCCTATCATATCATATCCTATCCTATCCTATCCTATCCTTTCCTATCCTATCCTTTCCTATCCTTTCCTATCCTATCCTATCCTTCCCTATCATATTCTATCCTATCCTGTCTTATCCTATCCTATCCTATTCTATCCTATCTTATCCTAACCTATCCTACTCTTATCCTACTCCTATCTTACATCAATGAAATAAATGACATAAAACAATAAATTTTTTAAATAAATAATCTTCTCCTTTTATTATATCAGCTAATTTATATTAGTCTGCTCTGCTGGATAAAAGATGAAAAAATTGTTGTCAACATTATATTGATAAAAACACATACCATTGAATTCCTTTTAGTTGAATTCGTACGAGGAGTTCGAAGACTATGACAAGTGTTGTATAGCTGATCTAGAATGTTGTACTCTACTCTGGCCTCATAAAATACTTCAGGTGGCAAAAAACAAGTTTTTTAAATTCATCTTCAGAAATTTGTAAACATTTATCGTAACGTAAACTTACTTAATTTAAGCTTTTTATGCCCTAGAAAATGAATATTCAAATATGAATGTTAACACTCCTAAAATAAATCATTACACACAGGCGCGTAGTGGGGGGGGGGCGGAACCCTTGTGCCCCCTAGACATGCACCCCTTAGGCCCCCCCCCTAGAGCCAGAGGCAGGCTCTAATTTATCAAACAGTAAACTTACATATATATTCAGATTTTTTACTTTTCTTATCAATCGACAATGCATGTCACAATTTGTCCAGTTTATGATTATTTCTCAAATTCTTTCTTGTACCTTGATCTTATTTACAATATTTTTTTTCTCGCGGGGTTTCATTTAAAATCCATTTCAATTGATTGGTTATAATTATGGTCAGATCACTAATTGTCAGCTTTCAGGTAGATTAATGTAGATTTTAAACTTTCTTAAAATTTTCGGCGCGCTTAGCGCACCAAAAATGCACCCCCCTAGGCTAAACCTCCAATACGCCCCTGCTTACACATGGGGAAGTTATGGTTTTTATAGAGCATCATATATCAAGTATCCATGCTTGTGCATAAAAGTTCCCGGCTCAAAGCGTTTATTATTACCAGTGCTTAGGATCCGGATCCAGATCCGTTGGATTCCCAATATTTTGGCTTCCTGGATCCGGATATCAACCAAAAACTGCAAAAACAACTTTTTTACTCCTAAAACCCAACTCTGAACTTATGAAAAAAAGGGATTATAAAAATTTCCTCATTTCTGAATGGTTCTTCAAGTTTTAGAATAAAAATAAGCGAAAAAAAGCAAAACATTTCTAAATCCGGATCCGCATCAAAATTAAATGGATCCTAAGCACTGATGATAACTCTTAATTTTAAACTCATCATCTAGAATCGTGAAAATTTTATCAATTTTAAGAAAAGCCTGGTTTTTGAAGCGGTTCAAATGAAAAGTTACACTTTTTTAACGTTTATATCATTATTTTGTATTTTTTTTAATGTTTGTTCAGGCTACCAAGGAAGGAACTCGGATTTATGTATTTGTGGGTCCTAGTGATATGTTGATAAGGTAAGCAAAGTTAGAAAAGCCTGCAGGAAATAGTCAAATATTATTTTAATTAAATTAGATTTTTCAAAGTCCTAAAGTCTCGCGTATATCTTTCAATATATTTATTTGTCTTAAAATCATACTCTCCCATTCAATTTAAAATAAAAAGAATTTAAAGTAATTTTTTTTTTTACCTTTTTTATCTCCGATAACAACTCAATTTATTTGTATTAAAAATCCCGAATTCTGAAAAATGTACAGTACCAATAACTATTGTTTACTTTAATATTCAAATCAGATCAAAACATGTATTTTCCTGCAGTGATAATTCTAACAGATATTATCAAAACGTACAGTAAATATATGTAAAACTACTGCAGCAGGAGAGCTTAGACAGCTTAAAGCTGTTTTTACAAAGCCTCCTGTAATTCTTGAAATATACAGGGTGTCCCAATAAACATGTGTAATTAAGTATGTAATGATGCTAGTAACATCTTTATTATCTATGTTTGTTTATCTATCTTATCATGTTTCATGTTGACCCAGACTGGCCATTACGGTCAGTTCTATTTACCTGTATTAATAAAGTAGTATGATAGAACTAGTCGATTTAGACGGACGTGTATAGAGCCTTGAGTTTTGGCTAGAGACGTGTATAGAGCCTTGAGTTTTGGCTAGAGATAGAGTCAGAGAGACTGACATTAGACTAAGAGTCAAGTATTCGGAGATTTATCGGGGCCTAGATTTATTACACATGGGAATTCAGTGACGAATTCGATATCGTCTTTTCAAATAATTCTTTGATTTAGTATAGTGATACCTACTGAGAAAGCTGTAATCTGTAAGAGTTTCGTCTGCTATGTTCACATTTTGTTTGTTTATGTTTTGACTTCATACGGTTGTACTTAGTTAAACAAGAAAATTGCAGTATACAAACAGTAAACTTGTCCGTCTTCACTGTTCATCTTGCGGAAACATTATAGAAACATCTTTGCAGTCTTTTACCCTTTTCATAAAATAAACTCTAGCAGACTGAAATTAGGTATTACAATGCTAATTCATAACAAAGACGATATCGAATTCGTCACTGAATTACCATGTTTTTTTTAGGACACCCTGTATATTGTATTTTAAAAGAAACTACGGAACCTGTATCCCAGACTTATACAAAAACATGAAAATTATATTTTCTTCCAGTTTTCCAACAAGTTTTAAATAACATGTTTTCAGCGGAGATATATATTTTCAGAAAAAAAAGATTCTAAAAATATTTTTCTTTTTAGGTTTATGAGACAGATGAACACGGAGAAATTGTTTGATGAAGGTAGGTTTTATATTTCAGACAATAGATAAAGAAATATGCAGATTAAACAGAGCATCGATAAAGAAATATGCAGATTAAACAGAGCATAGAAAAAGAAATATGCAGATTAAACAGAGCATAGATAAAGAAATATGCAGATTAAACAGAGCATAGATAAAGAAATATGCAGATTAACCAGAGCATAGATAAAGAAATATACAGATTCAACAGTTCCTGGATAAATAAATATGCAGATTTATCAGTTCATAGATAAATAAAAATTTAGATTTAACAGTCCGTAGATAAAAAAATATGCAGATTTATCAGTTGATGATAAAAATTATGCAAGTTTAATATGTAGCTATAGAATACAATTTTGGCTTTAGAACAAAGGTGTAAAACTAGAGCAAACAATCTTTTAAATCTGAATTCTTTGGTTGGATCAAATACATTTTAACTCCGGGTTATGTTTAGAGTACGTAGTGATCTATCTGTACCCGGAGACGGTTAAGGTAGACGAGAGACAGTTCTTCCTCTGGAACCTAGAGGAGATGTCAACTGCTCCGGTAGGAAACCATTGGACTTAACCACAGAGTAGAGAATGTATAGAGAAAATGAGTTTTCTTATATATTACAAGATAAAATCTTATTTATCCAATTTCAAGATAAATCTTATTTATCCAATTTCAAGATAAAAGCTTATTTATCCAATTTCAAGATAAAATCTTATTTATCCAATTTCAAGATAAAATTAATTCATCCAATTTCAAGATAAAAGCTTATTTATCCAATTTCAAGATAAAATCTTATTTATCCAATTTCAAGATAAAATTAATTCATCCAATTTCAAGATATCAATTTTAATATCAGGTTAACGGAGAGAAAAGCGTGAGTACTTCACGGTGACAGTGAATCAAAATTTACTCTTTTTTAAAGTTCAAACATTTTACATATGCTCTAAACTAAAGTGTTAACCCATTGCTGACAATTAAAACAATATCTTTAAAGGAACTTGTTTTCTAATACTCCTATATATATGCATTTGATAGTGTAAACTGTAAACCTTTGATATTTCAAACTTAGATTATTTGATCTAACAAGAACTTTTAAATACAAGAATGAATAATTTATATGTTGAAGGATTCGATGATTACGTAATAACTGAAATGATAAATATCATTATGTTATGTAATGATTAATGATCAATGTTGTCTATTTGTGCATAATTTTGCATATTTGTCTCTTTTTTTTGGAAACCTGTATTTTCAAAAATTTATTTAATTAAATTTAATAATTCATAGTTTGAAATAGCATAGGTTCATAAAATTTGGTTAAAAAGATAATGATTTAAATGATTTGGTTAAAGATTAAAATATTTTTTTTTTAATAATTTGAAACAAATTGCCTAATTAAAAATTAAAACAATAATAAAAAAAAATATTTTACTATGATAAAAAGTATTTATGAATTAAAAAAAAAATTATGATCAAAAGTCTGAATTGTATTGTAAATCTTGGAATCAAGCAATGATAGCGCCATCTAATGCAGACCTACGGATATTAATACATTTCCTCTCGTATGTTCTGAATGGTCCAACCCTACAGGGATAAAAGTTTAATTGAAGGATCAAGTATTGAAGATGCAAAAATTCACACAAAAGTTCTTTCTGTGAAATTGGGTTTCGTTCAAAGCATTCCTTCAATTCTCAGATTTGAGAAAAAATATTTTAAAATATATTTTTAGGACGGAGCGTCTTGTGAAGATATACCTGGATACAGGGACAGATTGCAATCCTGGAAATCTTTGATCGTCGTATCAGGATCTCCTTACAGGTACCCCCCCCCCCACACTGAAAACTAGTCAGAAGGAGGAGGTAAAATTATTCTACTTCACTGGTCGGACTTTATGACATCGTAGCTTCTCCAGCTTCGATTGTGCGCATAAGTATGAGACAAACTTATAAATCTGAGCTGAACTTTAGAATAATGGATATCAAGATTAAGCTTAAACTCCTGGTTTTACTAAACCCGTGATTATTTTAATACTTAAATTTAATTTTAATTCAATAAATCAAAATTTTTATTTGCTTAAATGCTATGAAAGCCGGCTTGTGAACAGCCGACATTAATTCAATCGGATATTAGTTCAATCGATATAGCATTGTTTCTGTAATTGTTATCAAACGTAACTTTTATACAGTAGAAATATCCAAAAAAGAGGATTAAGACTAAAATCAAAAGTGTGTACATTGGATACTCAGATTTAGCGATCAGGATTAAGGATATCTCATTCTAAAGTTTTCAGCTGAGTATCCATCAACTGAACAAAAAGAGAAGGTAATTTAAACTCCTACAAATTATTTAAATTTCTAGCAATTTTTATAACAAAGATAAAATTTTCTTACGGTTACATAAGAAATAAAATTTTTTGTTCTCAATAGCTCCTCAATAAGAAAAGTTATGATTGAAAACATAATCTTACATGCAAGTTGATATTTAGACCTGTCCCTTTTCTAAAAAAATACCAACGAAAACTTTCGTTTATATAATTTTAGAAATCTACTGAACATCCTAATAAATAGATTTTTTGAAATATATTTTAGCTAACCATTTATAACCATTTATAACCATTTATAGACAAAAATGCCAAATAATAAATATAAAAAAGTTTCTTGTAATCTTTATGTATCTAAATTATATTGTATTTTCTCTTGTACTGGTTCAAAGGAATAAACCCCAATTTTCGGACTCCCCCCCCCCCTCCTCTCCAAATAATAAAAAATATGCATTTTTATAGTTTTAAGGTTTATCCAGGTGTGCGTAGATTTAATTGATTTTTTGCGATGTTTAATGTTTATCTTCTAGAAAACTGCGTATTAAATTAGAAGTCCAATTCTATTTTGGTTGAAGCAACAGGAAAGGAAAACATTACAGGGCAGGCCCCCTCCACCTCCCATTCAAGAATTATATTTAAGGATGTACTCAATGTTTCTTTGTTTAGGATTGACACGACTGATTTTGCTGACCATGTGCGACATTACAACGTTCTGCCTCCTTTCAACTTTACAAGTGTCGTCTTCCCTTTTGCCAAGGAATTTAAGCATTATATTTTTATCAGTTGATGTGTAGATATCCATATAGGTATATCTGTTATGTTTATCAGTTCATGTGTAGATATCCATATAGGTATATCTGTTATGTTTATCAGTTCATGTGTAGATATCCATATAGGTATATCTGTTATGTTTAATAAACTACATGGATATTACAATGTTTTTAACGTATGTAGATATTCATTTATCCAAGCGCGTACGCATGAATTTGTCTGGCGGGGGTGGGGCTGAAATATCATATATCCATTTATAAGGCTTTAAGCAAGTTTATATCAATATGTACATCTGTAATGTTTAATATAGCAAGTAGATATCCATATATCCATCTACGCCGCACATTTGTACGACAGCGCAGTTCTTTACGCCGCGGTACGTATTATTATTATCATTACTATTATCATTACTTTCATTATTAAATTATTATATGAAAATTAAATAAAAAAGAAGAAAGAAGATAAGGAACAATTTACATTAAATAGAAATAAAATAAATTTAACGACGCTAGGAAAAAAAGGAATTACTAAATGTAAAAAAGGTTCAAGAAATCGTATTCTGTTATAAATTCAGTACCCCTTGGACCTTGTTAAGATTAGACTGCTATTAAACTAAAAGCTAATTAATCATCATGTTATTGTTTTCGTCCATTATACATCGTTAATATTTAATTAACATTTTGACAAAGAGCCCTATATATAATGATGTGTATTAGAACAATAGATGATATGCTAACACTTGGAAAGAAAGCAAGAGGTTTTTTGGGATAGGAGGAGGGGGAGGGCATATAGGACAGTATAGAGGAGTGGGGAAGGATTAATTGGCTGTGATTTTTTAAAACTTTTTATTGAGTTCAGAAAAGGCAAGATTTTTGCAGTTTGATATAATAAATAATGAATTTTCGCAGTTTTCTGTAAAAATCCACGAAAGTTTTCTTACTAACCACTAGTTCAAGGATTTGAATCCCATCAATATAATTATGATTTGACTGACTCTGTTTTGAGTTATTAAGATGGAGAATCAATTTTACCTACTTTTAGGCCCTTCACAAGATGATCGAAGAGGCCCGGTGGAAGGGGGAGAACACCACCATCTCCGAGCTCGCCAGGGATGGGACCCGTCTCACCAAAACCATCATCAAGATGGGCGGATACGATTCCATCTCCGGGAACTACATCAAGATCGACAAGAACGGGGACTCGGAGGGGAACTTCACGGCCTTTGCGTTGAAGGAGTTCAACTACACCTTCGTGTCCAAGTTCTCCGGAAAGAAGTTCTCGTGCAACCACTACCTCACCAAGGTCGGGGAGTTCCACGTACCCAAGGATAATTTTAACAAGTAAGTACGTCAATACCGGGTTATATAAATTTATATAAAATATATTCTAAATAATTTTTATTTAACCCATTAGTGACGAGAAGGTCAATTTTGACCGGGTGAGATTTTTTTTAAGTGCCTTTTTTCTTGAATTAAATGTTGTCCTGTTTTCCCTGCACTTTCCTTAGGATTCCCTCTTTTCAAAACATATTTTATATTTGTCGTGACTTCAAAATTGGGGTTTCTATTAAATTTTCAATTTTAAAAAACCCAAAAAACAAGATTTTGAATTCGGAAAAAAACCAAAAGAACATTTGGTTTTGAATCTATAAAATAGTCAATATTTTTGCTAGAGAACATTTAAAGATATTTTTGGAATCTTCTTTTAAAGATTTGTTTTTCCGATCATAACTCAGGTAACCCTGGATCGATTTGCCTCTAATGGCGCCGTGACAAACTCCTGAATGACAAACTCCGGAATGACAAACTCCTGAAAGACAAACTCCGGAAAATACAAACTCCTGAAAGACAAACTCCTGACGAGACAAACTCCTGACGAGACAAACTCCTGAAGAGACAAACTCCTGAAAATAAAAAATTCTGAAATACAAACTCCAAAATATCAAATTTGAAAAAAAATGTTTCACGATTTATATTTAATCTAGCAGCAGCGCTCGGCCCAGAAAGTGTCATAACTTAACCTAACCCATGGCCGCAGCGCTCGGCCCCCTAGCCTGTCCTAGCCGCAGCGCTCGGCCCAGAAAGTGTCTTAACCTAACCTAGCTCGGCCCAGAAACCTAACCTAACCCTAAATAATAAAAATTAAATTATAATAAATTTCATGGTGTTTCTGATCATTGTAATACTTTGCTGCTAGAAGCATATTCAAATTACTAAAGATTGAGAATTTTTTCTAGGATATTTGCGGATTTTTACTCCTAAAGTTTATGAATTTTATCAAATTTCATTCAGAGAAAAATTTCATAATTTCAGGAGTTTGTCTTTCAGGAGTTTGTCTCGTCAGGAGTTTGTCTCGTCAGGAGTTTGTCTTTCAGGAGTTTGTCTTTCCGGAGTTTGTCATTCCGGAGTTTGTCATTCAGGAGTTTGTCACGGCACCGCCTCTAATTTTGATTGAGGAACTCGGGAGACCGACGGGAATGTTCTTAGCTTGTTTTTTGAGATTTTAAGTTGAGTGTATCGACTTTAACAGCGAAAATTTAGTTTCCCGGTAAAATCGTTCAAGTGCGGGTAAACGGCGGGAGTAACTTTTAGTAACCTTGGTAGCGCTGGGTTCCCAATCAATTAATTCTTAACTTGTCTACAGAACCCGGCTTGTAAATGGAAGGCTACGAGAGATGAGAGAATTGCCAGAATATGTTCTGCATACAAACATTGAGTTTCCTAGAGGTATACTGGATACTAAATATTATATAGATAATAATAATGATAATAATAATCATAATAATAATAGCCATCATACTGTAAAAATAAAGTCCGAATTCATTTAAATAAACAAATGAACAAATTTAAACAAATGAACAAATTTGAACAAATAAACAAAGACACAATTACACAAATATACAAATAAACAAATAAACAAATAAACAAATAAACAAATAAACAAATAAAACAAATAAACAAATAAACAAATAAACAAATAAACAAATAAACAAATAAACAAATAAACTGAAAAATTTGATAAAATGAATAAATGTGAAATAAAGCAGATCTACAACATAAACGAAAGATCCAAACCGTTCTTCTGTTCAAAACCTAACACTCAAATCACGGTTTGGAACTTTCTTCCCCCGAGATAACAATCAAAAACTACTTCAGGATATAAACCCCTGGATGAACCGCAGTGTGGATACAGGGGAGAGAAATGTAAAGGAAGCCAGGTTAGGATTTCAGGAGAAATTAGTTTCAATCCGTACTCAAGGCATAAATCTGACGAGTGCAAATCGAAATTGGTTCCCCTGGATTTGGAATAGCTTAATGAATAGATTTACTTATTTATTGTTTTTAACATTTCTATTCAATTTTTGTATAAATAATGTTAAAATAAAGGAATTAAGCCGTTTATCACAATCTCAAATTTTCTAATACCTATATCTTTGCAACTTGATAGTGAACAACCTTCGATATTTTATACTTAGATTTTTTGATCTAACAGAAGTCTACGACAGTGTGTTTCAAAGATATAGAGATTAGAATATAAGAGTTTGTGGCAAATACACAATTCCTTTAATGTACCTAGACACTTTTTTTTTAATTCAACCACCATTCTTTTTTTTATCTTAGCAATTTTTTTTTAATGTTTTACGATAATTCACTAGTCTTGGGATTTTCAAAATGTTTTTTTATACGTTTTGCACCTTCAAAAATCAAAATTAACCTTGATATTGGGAATGGAATTGAGTCGTTGCCACAAACTCTGATTTTCTAATCATTACATCTTTGGAACCAAATATTGTAGTCCTTAGATAATTCAAACTAATGTAACCCCTTCAGTCCTCATTGAGTTCCATTGATTCAAATAATCTGAGTTTAAAATATCAAAGGTTTACAACATCGGGTTCTAAAGATATAGGGGTTTCAATATTTGAGTTTGTGGCAAAGACTCAATTCCTTTGTCCAGATTTCAATTTATCAAGTAAGAGCAAATATTAAATAGCTCAACAAGTTTCAAAGATGGAAGACCACATTTTAAAAAGTGAACAAAAGACGTGAAATCTTTTTTTTAATACACAATTGGATATCAAAACGATTTCCAATTCGTCTCTTATTTTCCTACGTCTATTGGAACACTTTGTAGAATTCATACATAATTCCCACATGTATGCCGATTCCATTAACACGTGATCCAATCAGTCATTCAGTCATGTGTTTTGTGTCTATTCTGAACCAAAAGAAATTGCATGGTAGTAACATCTATCCTTCTATCTATCTTATCATCCAATTAGAGATGAATCTTTAAATCGGCACTATAAACAGTATGTGGAAATATTTACTTCTACTGAAACTACACTGCCATGTTCAATTGGACACCTTGTAGAATGGATATTTTCCATGTTTATTGGGACACCCTGTCGATGTGATTATGGATTTTAAGATAGATTTTTGGTTGTAGGGTCGAACTGAGATAATCGCGGGTGTGATGGGCGGAGTCCTACTGGTCAGCATGGTCATCACCCTTTCTGTTTACAGGAAGTGGAAAGTTGAACAGGCAAGTTCAAGTTTTTTTATCTGAATGTTTTTTTAATGCTATTCTTAAAAAAGAGGAAAACGCAAGTAGGAAGTAAAGCAGGCAATTTGGAGTAATTTTTTTGAGAATTTCAAAATATTTGTTGGCTTAAGAAATTGAGAAATCTTTATGTTCCCATTAATGACAGAAATAAATTTTTTTAAAGAATTGTATAGCTATAATTTTTTCATTATTTGACTTGATATAAATTATGATATGTTCAACATTGGTTAAAAATATAAAAAAAAGTTAAAAAGGGATTTTTTTTTAGATTTTAGGAATTCAAATTTATCATCCTAGTTTTAAATAATATGAAGTCTTCTTTGTATTTTGTATTTAAGAATAATTGTGAATATTGAAAAATTTAAATTAAAGTTAAATTACAATGAAAATAGAAGAAAAATCATTTAGAGAGGAAAACAGGAAAGTTGGAGGTAATTGAATAGAACCTAGAGAATAAAAATCAAATTCTTATTAAAAGCCTCCGTAATATTTTGGTAAAAAAATAGTAAAATTTTTTTTAAAAAACTGTTAATAAAATAGGGGGAACACATTAAAGAAAATAGTAAGGAAAAAAATTTCAAAACTAATGAAGATATATTAATTGCAAGGTAATAGAGCTTAGAAAATAAAAATAAAATTCTTATTTTGCCTCCGAAATATTGTGTTAAGAAAATAATAAAGTAAAAAAAATAAAATTTAAATAAAATAGTAAGAAAAAAGCTCAAAACTGATGAAGATTGAAGATATATTGCAAGATTGCAAAGATATATTGCAAGATTGCAAAGATATATTGCAAGATTGCAAAGATATGTTGCAAGATTGCAAAGATATATTGCAAGATTGCAAAGATATATTGCAAGATTGCAAGAGAAAGAACAAAGGAATTAAGAATTAATTGTTGACCAGAAAAGCTGAAGAGTGAAACTTTATCCTAATACAAACAAACCATGAATATAAACATAATTATTTTTATAATATTTTCAAAAATATTGTAATTTCCAACGACACGTGTCTAATAATGAAAGCCTTTGGTGAACTCCATTGTTTACATTTTTTCTACAAGCTGCAGTACACTTGCAGTACACTTAAATCCTTCACATACTTTGGGATTACTTGTAAACTTATTGTTTACTTAAGTACAGAGAGAGCCAGAAAACTTTGGAACACGAAGACGACTTTCAGCCTCAAGTTATGTAATTAAATAGTTCAATGAATATGAGACACAGCAATTTTGCACTGTGCTCAGACCATTTGACTTACTACAATTTATTATCAAGTCACTTTTTAAAACAGTTTACTTTGTACACTTTAAATATTGCTTTAATGTCGTCTTCCTATTCTTTGTCACAAACTCTGACTTTCTAATCCCCATATCTTTGCAACCCTATTTTGTGGACAATAGATATTTCAAACTATGAATTCCGTTCGAATAAATAATTGAAGATTTAAATATGAAAGGTGTACACCATGAGGTTGCAAAAATATAGGGTTTAAAATTAGAGCAAAGGTTCTGAGATTTCATAAATGTACCCTGATAAAAAAAGTATATAATTAATCGCCGTGATGGCTTTTATAACTAGCATATTTTCAAAGTAAATGGGAATTAACATAAAAACAGGGATTTCAGCCAAGAACGCAAAGGTTACTTTCTATCAGGGATTATTGGATCATTAAAGATCATCTTTGCACAGTAAGATCGGGTTAGCTTTGATACTGTTCCTTTCAACAATTTCTTAAATAAAAAGAAAAAAATATTTAGGAGATTGAAGGATTACTGTGGAAGATTAGTCCTGATAGTTTGAAGGGATTCCGAGGAACTGGACTCCATCCTTGTTCCAGTAAACAATCCCTAGGGAGTATAGCATCAGGTAAAATAGGATCAAAGATAGTTTTGAAGGGATTCTAAGAACTGGACTCCATCCTTGCTCCAGCAAACAATCCCTAGGGAGCATAGCATCAGGTAAAACAGGATCAAACATAGTTTGAAGGGATTCCGAGGAACTGGACTCCATCCTTGTTCCAGCAAACAATCGCTAGGGAGCATAGCATCAGGTAAAACAGGATCAAACATAGTTTGAAGGGATTCCGAGGAACTGGATTCCATCCTTGTTCCAGTAAACAGTCCATAGGGAGCAAAGCATCAGGTAAACAGGATCAAAGATAGTTTGAAGGGATTCAGAGGAACTGGACTCCATCCTTGTTCCAGTAAACAATCCCTAGGGAGCATAACATCAGGTAAAACAGGATCAAACATAGTTTGAAGGGATTTCGAGGAACTGGACTTCATCTTTACTCCAGTAAGCAATCCCTAGGGAGCATAGCATCAGGTAACACAGGATCGAAGACAGTTTGAAGGGATTCCGAGGAACTGGACTCCATCCTTGCTCCAGTAAATCATCCCAAGGGAGCAAAGCATCAGGTAAAACAGGAGCAAAGCTAGTTTGAAGGGATTCTGAAGAACTGGACTCCAACTAATAAAAGAGTGACGCCACTTGTGAATAAATGATGCCACTAACTATCAAGTGATGCCACCATTGAAATGAATAAGATATGGCACTAAAAGATAAGGTACATTCCTAATAAATAAAGCGTGTCACTTAAAATAAATCACTTTACTAATGAATAAGTAATTCACGAATGAATAAGTAATTGACAAATGAATAAATTATATTACTAATAAAAAAGTTACATCTTTATTTAGAAAGATAATATCAATATCATTATCCTAGGTTAAAAGAATAAAGTTGAAATTACTTGTCAAAATTTCTAATAGATTCCCAAACGAAAACATCTTTTCAAAGTTAGACATATTTTTAAGTAGTTTATCAAAATGTTTTTGAAACTTGTTTTTCAAGAAAATTGCCAGAAAATTGAAACAATTTTATAAACTGTTCATCTAGATGTATTTTCTTGGCATGCTATTTGTTATAGCCTAAGAAGAATTCTAGGCGAAGTTCCATTTATGAATGAAAGTTATTGAAAAAAACTGAAAGATTATTAATTCAAAAACAGCTACACCCAAGAACACTGGACAAATTTTTAAATAGAAGACTTACCCAAACTAATCTAAATTAAGTCTAGGACTTGAGAACCAAAATTTGAATTATGTCGTAGTAGTTTTTGGCAAATTTTCAATAAAGAAACGAAGGTTTAGGGAAATAGAATAGATAATATATTTACATAGAGTGGTTTTAATGTTAAAGTGGGGGGGGATTAGCACCCCCCCCCCCAATGGTTGCACTAGTTTTTTTGTATTATTTTAAGCAAACTGTTTCCAGAAATTGGATTCCCCAGTCTTGAGAGTATGGGGCTCCGTAGAATCACAATGAAGAAACATAAGGGGTAGGATTCTGGGTACTACAGAATTAAACATTTTTTTTAACAATTCCAGTGTTGTAAAGAGATTTATGTTGAACACTTTTGCACAAGAAAACTTCAAAGAGGAGATATTTGTACTCAAAATACTTTTTAACTTTGTATTTTTAAGTCCTGTATGAGGTGAAAGATTTTTATAATCTTAAAGATTGGTATTTGAAAATTTCTAATGATGTGAAATTTGCAGAGCTGTAATTTCACATCATTATAAATTTTCCCCAAAAGGAATTTAGGGGCCTAATGGAATAAAACGTCAAAGGGTATGGTAAAAAAGCTGATAAGTAATGAATTTGGCGAGGCTACTTAATTGTCACTTCAGAGTATTAAACTGTACTGTACTGTACTGTATCAGTATAAGTATCACTACCAAGCCAGGGAAAGCATCACCAGGCTGGGTTCAGCTGGAGACTTCTACGCAATCTAACTGTAGATCCGGTCAAAATCATGACCGGGATTCAAGGTTTTTGAAACAATGTAAATATTTGTGTTTTTACACGTTTTATGTGGGGTTTCACAATATGGTTGTGGTCGTTTCCAGTTCTTGGTTGAAGGGAGCCATTTCTTAAATGGAAATAATGCCACCAAAGTTTCCTGTATCAGATTTGAAAAATTACATTTCTCTCTAAAATTTTTAATTGTGTAGAGACACAATGTTAACACACCAATGCAATATAAAAAATAAATATATGTATTTTTAAAGCATTTTTTGTGGTTGTGGCACATTTGAAATGGGTAGAAGACTGAAGATTTTAATTAGTCATTGATGGGTTATTTTTATTTTAGCTTTTTTAGAATTCAAATATACATTTTTTCTCTTTGATTATGCATAGAAATATAATGTTCACACGGATTACGGAATTATAAATATAATATTTTTTACATATGTTTCTTAATGGGTTGAGGGCATAAATGAAAATAGGTTCCAATCATCTGCCAAATAAATTTCCTGTTCTAGATATATTCGAGCCAATTCTTTTTCTATAAATTCAAAATTTTTGGATTTACAAGGTTTACAAAACCATGTAAATAATTGTGTCAATTCTCAAAATGCATTTTTTAACTGGAAAAGTCTTGCTTGTAGATATTGAGATTTGCATTCTGTTGCTAGTTTCAAATGAATTTCCTTTTTATTTAATAGATTTTCAAAATCGTTTTAATTTGCTTGTAAACAGTGCTTAGGATCCAGATCCATTTGATCCGCAAGTATTTGGCTTTCTAGATACTGAACCGGATCCTCCTGGATCCAGAACCGGATCCAAGGGGCAAAATTCAACCTAAAACTGCAAAAAAAACGTTTTTACTCTGAAAACCCAAATCTGAACTATTGAACAAAAATTATGAAAATTTTCTGATTTCAGATGTACACAACCGACCTTCCTGTTAACTAATTAATAGTGTGGTTGGTTGTGTACATTACATGTTTACGTACCTAGTACTGCAAACACTTGTATATAGAGTGAACATATTTCTTGTGGGTGGTAAAATGTAGAAAAGTGGAATCAACATAGAGAAAGGAAATAAAGATTGTGATTTTTTACATTTTTAAATTTTTTTTGTATCGATTTTGATGGTTATTATTTCGTTAGAACTGACGAGGGTCAACCCAGACCGAAATATATTTTCAATAAATGTGGAACTAACATCTACTTTTTTACTCTACAGAGGTTTGGTCCATCACCATCACCGAATTTTAAAAGGAAAAGCTTACTTTATGGAATTGATAAATTTTTAGATTTTCTTTCTTTGTATAAAGTGAATTCGGGGATGTTGACTGCCACATTTGACAATTTTCAATTATCTCCATTTTAACACCCCCAAGAAATACGATCACTATATATACAAGTATACAGTGTTAGATACGTAAAGATATTGTGATGGACACAACCGACCACTCTATTGATTAATTAATAAGGGGGTCGGTTGTGTACATCTAAGTTAAGCTTTACCTCTTCGTTTCCTTTCTCTATGATTGTCACTTTATTTTCCATTTTGAATTTTTTAAAACTGCAGAATATCTCATTTAAACTTTATGAATGAATGATGATATTGTAATTTTAATGATGATTTCAGAAAAGAATAATATTTATATATTTTGAGGAATTTTCTCATTTAAACTTTGTTTGAGTTTGTTTATAATGTTTAATTTCAAGCTGATCAGAGGAATGGAAAACATGATGTTATCATTTTAGTAATCAGCACTAGACTTTTTCCTTTATTTTAAATCAGAAAACTGAAACGGGGGGAGAAGGGGGGGACACCCATCTCTAGCTTACCTAAAGACACCCTCCCCCTCACATATAAGATAGTAAATCAAGAAGAAAAACTACATCATGTTCTAATAAAGATTTAAACATGTCTGATTTCCATTGTTATCTTTTATTATGATTTAAGATTTAAAAAATGATGGTGACGGTGAAGGTTAATTGTGTGTTCGAATTTGTTTATTTGTAAATATAATGATTTTAAGGGTTTCATTAGAAAGAGAAAATTAAACCATTCTTTGAGCAGCTAGCTGAGTCTCAAATTCTATAAAATATAGATAATTGATATTGTTCAAATTCCTAGGTTAAACAGTACATACAAAAAGCAAATGTTACAATGTACAGTACTCGTGTACACAGATTTTTAATTTCAAGGTTAAACAATACAACTATTCTGTACGCTTTGAATGTTTACTACTTAACCTCTAAATTTAACCTTACAGGGTGTTACACATCACATTTGATCGATCATAGCTCAAAATTGTTTTTTAGGGGGTAATCGGAAAATTTAAAAACTATGAATAATTTTTTTAAAAAATATGTAAGGTTACTTAAAAAGTTTTCTTGCAGAAAATACTAGTTTTTTCGATCATTATTTGCGTATTTTGGCGCTAAAGCTTGGACCGAATCTAATATTATATGAGACGCTTTATGTATAAATGTGAAGTTTGTAAATATACTTTTCTTTTTGAATTTGATTTCTTTTTGATTTGTTAAAAAATGATTTCCATACTGGTTGTGGATTAGTTTACATTTTTTGAGATGAAAACTAATGAATTACATATTTTATAGGAGATTACAACGGGATAGGAACTTTCTGCCAGACAGCCAAGTATAAAGGATCTAATGTCAGAGTTAAAGAATTAATGTTTGCCAGGAAGAAAGATATCAGCAGGTAAATGGGACAATTAACGAAATTAGAAGTGATAGCATTGTTTTCGTTGGAATCGGTGAAGTCACTTTTTAAATTGAACTTACATCGACAGTTTTTATCCCCCAATTACCTATCAAAGTGATTTTACCTACCCCTTTACCCAAAAAATGAAATGTAAAGATTTTCTTAAATTCTTAACCCCCCCTCCCCTCCCCAAGAAACCCGAGTTGCGCCTCTTTTACTATCGTTAGACTTTTCCTGTCCAATTTTTCATTTTAAGAATACATTAAGTATTCACAACACTTAATCAGGGGCAGCTTAACATATTTTTGTGGGGGGGGGGGGGGTGAAATAATTGAAATATGGAGCCGAATTTCCCCCACTTTTTCAGGGGGGTCCCCCCTCCCCCCCCCCTAAGCCGTCTCTGCACTTTTAAAACTTTTGTTTTTGCAGAGAGCTGATGAAGGAGATGAAGTTGATGAGAGAGTTGAGGCACGACAACATCAACAGCTTTATTGGAGCCTGCGTGGAGGTGTCCGGGGACTTACATTGTATCACCATCATCTCCGACTACTGCGGGAAGGGGGGGCTCAACGATATTCTGGAGAACTCCGACATGAAGTTGGATAGTATGTTCATCACCTCCTTCATTCATGATCTTATCAAGGTGATTATTCGGGGTTAGTTTCTGGAATTCAGGGGCGGATACAAGAATTGGTTCTTAAGGTGGCCTGAAGATCCCCTTATCTGGGAACCCTTCCCTTTTCCCCCTTTCTATATTCCCGTCTGATCTTCAGGTCATCCATACTATTTTTTATTAATTAGAGTTCTTTTTTGGAAATAAAATGACACAAATTCTGACAGTAAATCAAATTAATGATTTAAAGTAAGTTCCTATTGATATTTAACTGTTTTGTTGTGGACAGAGAATATATGAGATTCATTGTAGTGGATAAAAACCCTTTAAATAAACCTTTTTTTAAATTCGTAATCTCTCCCTTTAACAGTTCTCTGTTCAGGGTATGCTGTTCCTGCATGGGTCTGATATGGTGACCCATGGGAACCTGAGAAGTTCCAACTGTGTTGTTTCCTCCAGATGGGTTCTCAAGATATCAGACTTTGGTCTCCATGAACTCAGGGTCTCTCAAGGTAGGTCAATCAGGTGGTCAGATCAATTCTAGGTGGTTATATTGATTCTAGGTGGTCAAATCAATTCTAGGTGGTCAACTTAATTCTAGGTGTCTAATCAATTTTAGGAAGTCATTTTAATTCTAGATGGTCATATTGATTCTAGGTGGTCAAATCAACTCTAGGTAGTCATTTTAATTCTAGGTGGTCATATTGATTTTAGGTGGTCATATTAATTCTAGGCGGTCATATTGATTTTAGGTGGTCATATTAATTCTAGGTGGTCATATTGATTCTAGGTGGTCAGATCAATTGTAGGTGGTAAGATTAACTCTAAATGTTCACAGCAATTATAGGCGGTCAGATCAACTCTAGGTGGTCAGATTTATTCTTGGTGTCTGATTAAATTTAGGTGGTCACATCAGTTATAGGTGGTCAGATCAATTATAGGGTGTCACATCAATTTTAGATGGTCAGATCATTATTTTGTGGACAGACCATTGTCAGGTGGTCAGATTAATATCAGATGTTCAGAGGAGTAGCTAGCTGGTCAGATTGATTTAATGCGGTCATATCAATATTAGGTGGTCAGATCAATTCTAGGCAATCAGATCATGTGGTTAGTTCATCATCATCAACATTATCATCATCATCATCATGATTATCTTCATTATCATCATCTTCATCAATATTATCTCATCATTATTATTTCAATTTAAATATCATAGTTTTTATTGCAATTATTTTATAACTAAAATCGTCCTAGCGTCAATGTGTAATGCTAAGGAATAGGGACATTGTAGATATGATTTATAAAGATATTTATGAATCAAATTTTCTATTCAGAAACCCAATCTGAAAATGAATCTGTCCTCCTGTACAAGCAGCTGTGGAGGGCCCCTGAGCTACTCCGTAACAACGGACCTCTCAGAGGAACCCAGAAAGGGGATGTCTATGCATTCGGCATCATCCTCTACGAGATGCTCGGCAGATCCGGTCCCTATGGCGACGATGACATGTCCCTCACAGAAATCATCCGCCGCGTGATCGAGCCGGAAGGCGGAGTAGAGACGAGGCCGAATATTGACTTGTTGCGGGATATAGCGGCGGAGAATGAGACGGAGTTGCCGGAGTATGTCCTGGAGGTTATGCAGGAGTGTTGGGCGGAGGATCCTGAAACTAGGTAAAGCATTCTGTATAGTCCTGGGCGCAACCTTTTTTTAGTGGGGGGGGGGGCAAAACAAATAATATACTTTATCCAAATAATAAATCTTAGACCTAGGAGCAACATTAAACAAACCAAAAGTAAAAGAAATAATTAGTAAAAAGTAAGATGTCATGAAATAATCACTAAGCTGAAACATTTTATAGATCATTTAAACCATAATTATTTTACTAATAAAAGAATAACCAAGAACCTTCTAGGGGAACTTTATAATGTGAACCCTTGGGTCAAAGGAAGTCAAAAAGTTAATTCAAAAACTTTTTTAAAAATTGCATCAAAGAACAAATACATTCTTGGGCTCTACACAAAATCTTTGTATCTAAAAAATAAATTGCGATCAGGTTAGATTCATTCTAAAGATTTTGGTCATAATAAATAATGAATTATGAATAATAAAAGAAATCTTTCAAGATAACTCCAATTCTCTGGTAAAATTAAAATCAGAGATGATACACCCAGGGTTGGAAAAAAGTAAAAACCCGTTTATTTTTTTTTTAACCCGGCCCAGTGGGTTTTATTGGGTTTTTATTTTTTTTTAATTTTACAGTAGTTAAAGCCTACTAAAACTTACTAATTTATTATAATAAGACTATTTGAGCAATAGGTGAACCTAGTAGTTAAGAAAAATGATAATACTTTGTGATATGGGGTATGCTATAGTAAAAATTATCTTTTAATATGGTAATTTTTCCTCTCTTCTTCATGGTGGGTTGTACTGCAATTGTTTGATATTTTAGTTTAGGAATCTCAGATTAAGTCTGGTCTATATTCTAACTTGGATACATATTTACTTACATAATAATCAAGGGATTGTATTTCCTAAATCCTATCGCAACAAATTTGAAAATTCTGTTGTACTGTGTATCTTATTGAGTTTAAAAAAATTGTATATGATCGATTTCTACGATAGTTTTCTACAATGAGATTTGTCTGATCTTAAACCAAAAACCGTGTTGGTGGTAGAAAGCTAATAAACTAGCAACTGTATACAGAGGAAACATCCTCAATATCACTACTTCTTCATGGCCTGGAGTAGAGGAGGTGACTTAGTTGAGCGACAAGGATGAATATTTAAATTAATTCAATAGTTTTTTTCGGAATATTATTTAAACAATATTCTTATTAAAGATCATAGGTTTTAGTCACCACACAATAAATGATTAAATGAGGCAGTTTTAAGTAATACAAACTCCCTAATAATCAATATCAATGATAGTAGACCTCATTTCTTGAAGAATGGATCACTGAAAGAGTGAAGATTAGGCTTAGAAATAGAAAAATTCCAACAAAAAAAAACATAAAACGCGAAAAAAATCCCTTTTAGGTGTGTTTTTTTTAATTGGGTGTTACTGGTTTTTTTTGGGCGGGTTTTTATTGGCTGGGTTTATATGCCAACCCTGGATACACCCATGGCCAATTGTAAACGAACGGAAGATATAAACAAATCCCATTCTGAGCAGCAGGGGCGTATTCCGGAATTTGTCCAAGAGGGGGGGGCTAATTGTTTAAATTCTAGGGCGGGTTACCACTCATTGGGACATAAAAAACCTGGAAACCATAGATTTTACTGATCCAGGGTGGGAGGGCTCAGCCCCCATACCCCCCCCATCCACTCATATTTTGAAAATTGTTATATTTTAGAATTATTAAACAATTCTTTTTTAATTGACTTTTTTCAGGCCGGATTTCACAAGTATCAGAAACCGATTGAAACCAATGCGGCAGGGGATGAACAACAACATTATGGACCAGATGGTCGAGATGCTGGAGAAGTACAGCGTGAATCTCGAGGACCTCGTCACAGAGAGGACGAGGCTATTGTTCGAGGAGAAGGCAAGGACAGAGGACCTTCTTCATAGGATGCTTCCACCCTCCGTTGCAGCTAAACTAACTATGGTAAACTTTTCAATACAATGAAAAAAATTGCGTATGGTGCTGAAATGTTTTTTTTTCATTTTTTAATGATTCTTCAGTATATGAAATTTCAGAGCGTTGTTATTAAATTATTCTTTTTTCTGCATTTTTTTTTTCTCAATCTTAGATTTTTTGATGTTTTTAACGGAATTTTTGCGGTTTGATGAGTTTTTAATTTATTAAGATGATTCTTGATTCAAAATGTTCACATTTCAAAATCAAAAATCTTAATTTTTAAAATAAGCTTTTTTTATTAAATTGATTGGGGTGTTTCTTATTTTTCTGAATTTTTATTTTGATAATATAATACATTTTTGTTTGGGAGGGTGGAGGGGGGGGGGGGGAAAGTTTTAATAATTTTTTATGTATTCATAAAGTAAAATGAATGTTATAAAAAGGAAAGCAGTAAACACTATTTGTTAAAAATTTTATTTTATTTTATTTATTTTCTATATATTTCTAGAATATCGGAGTGGAGCCGGAAACCTTTAACGGAGTAACCATTTATTTCTCCGACATTGTCGGGTTCACCAGTATGTGCTCTGAGTCGACCCCCCTCCAGGTGGTCAACTTCCTCAACGAGCTCTACTCCAAGTTTGACGAAATAATTCAAGGATTCGATGTCTACAAGGTAAAGGAATGGAGTCTTTGTCATATACTCAAAATTTCTAATGCCTATATTTTTGCAACCTGATGGCATAAACCTTTGATGTTTCAATCTTGAATATTTGGATCTGACAGAATTCATAGTTTGAAATATCTTGGGTCCTTTAGACATTGGGATACAAAGATATAAGGGATTAGGAAATCAGAGTTTGTGGCAAAGACTCAATTCGTGAAGAACTCTAGTCATTCATGGAGCTGTGAACTCATGTATAGTGGATATCGACATTAAAGCTTGATCTCGATCTTTTGTTAATCTTTATTCTACATCCCGCGTGGGTATCGTTGAAGGGTTGAAGGAAGCTTTAATCGGGGGAGAGATAACTGAGATAAAAAGATCAAGCATTGATCTTAAAATTAAAAGTGCCCACAGATATCGGGATTGAGTATCAAACACAAGAGTTTCCATCTCGAAGGGCATTTAGCCCATAACTTACAATAATTATGAAAATAGTTAATAAAAAGTTAATTTTAAACAAAAAACACCAAAAAAGCCGATTTTTCTTATTTTGTCCAATTTTAAACTTTTGTCCAGCTTTTAACCCCTATGGTCATGTTATAAGTTAGACTTATACCAAGTCGGACACCCCTCATATTTTGACCCTGTACGACCCAGTCTGTTTTACCTGGGGACTTGAATTATGTGATATTTAAATGTTAGATTGAAACTATCGGAGATGCCTATATGGTGGTTAGTGGGCTACCGGAGCGTACTCCGACCCATGCCGGAAACATCGCCGCCCTGTCGGTGGAACTACTTGGAGCCGTCAAGAACTTTAGGATTTCACATCGGCCCGCAGACACCCTGCAGCTGAGAATTGGGGTACACACGGGGCCCGTCGTGGCCGGGGTCGTCGGGCTAGCCATGCCGAGGTAAGAAAAATAGATTATATTTCATAAATAATTGTTATTATGTATTCACTAGATACAGGGTGTTTCACGAAACAGTATGAAAATGTAAGGTGTATTTATGATTCTGAATCTAAAAATTTACTTGTAAAATTAGTAATGAAAATTATTTTTTAAGATCAAAGAATTCCAGCAAGCCGTCTCTGAACTGTCGTGTTTCGTGGAACACCCTTTTAGTTTGTAGAATATGTGTAGATACCTACAAAGGATTAAACTTCAAAAACGACATTCAGCATTTTTTTACATTTTGGGTCCCATGCAGGTGCAGCTGTAAACTTGCGATGTTTTCTTTGTTAAATCATCAAAGTTATTAAAAACTTTATTTAGAAAAATTTTACTTTCAGACCATATCAATTAGGTCGTCATTTAGGCCATATCCTTTGTAGGTAGCCCGGTAGAAAAATTAGTATATAAAAATCTGCATTATGTACTCTGTTCAGTCTGTACATACAGACTTTGTTTTTTCTAACCAACTGTATTGCACACTGTACAGGTATTGTCTGTTTGGAGACACTGTCAACACTGCGAGTAGGATGGAAAGTAACGGGCTTCCACTCAGGATTCATATTAGTCAAGAGTGTCATAGAGAACTGGAGAAACTAGGCGGGTATATAACGGAATACAGGGGCGGGGTCCAAATGAAGGGCAAGGGGATCGTTGATACCTATTGGTTGAACGGTGTAACGGAGAACGCTATTAAGAAACGGCCTCCTGACTACAGCAAACTTAAACCACTGTTCAGTTATCCTAAACTTGGAGTTATGAACAGTGAGCAGGTATCGAGAAGGGAGAGGAGGTCTCCGAGGATGTCCTTGGTCTGTACGGACGTCCGACAGTCCTTTAAGGACAAGAACTCGACAACTCCGTTAACACCGGAGTTTCGGCGACTGTCAGAGAACGGGAAAACCAATGGAACCTCAGACGTCAACTCGGAACCTCAATTTTTCAACTTTGAACCCAAAACGGTGAAGGATAGAAATGTAGCGGCTAAACTATTGGCTGGGATGGGCCGGTCACCACGGACCACCGTGCGTGGTCAACGGTATACAGGGTCCAGCTATGCTATAAACTCTAGTCAAAACAGCATAGCGAGTCGAACCTCGCGGCCCCGCAGTCTTAGCAACGAACGGCGGGACCGTATAGAGGATTTTGAACGGGTTTCGCTATTGACGAATGGAGACGATGCTCTTTCAGATTCTGTCGTCTAAAATGACGACAAAAGTTGAAAAGGAACTTTTTATGAATATTATATATTTGTTATTTTTTTTAGTAAAATATGCAACTATTTATGACGCTGTAAACAGTTTTTGTTTATAATTAGTACCTTGTCTAGTTGAAAAATAAGAGATTTTAGCAAAGTAATTTATATGTACAGATGTATCTTTTTGTAGATGTATATGTATGTACATTGTACATTAAAAAAAATAGTTAAACAAATGCGCTGTGTTTAATTTACAAATCTTGCTGTTTTTTTACAGATCAATTTCTGTGCACAACTATTGAGCTCAAAGTTTAATTGCGAGTTTTCGAAATTAAATCCAATCTTACTTTTTAAATCTATCGTAGACGCCATGATAAAATCATGTATATATGATTGTAGATAGTCGATTTTTTTCCAAATTCACAGAATGATTTACTCAAAACAGATTTAGCTCTTAATTTTTCTTTAAAAATCTTTTATTTATGTGAAAAAAACTACTTTTTAACCGTCCAAGAAAATGTTTATTTTTTTCCCAGCCCAATTTTATTTAAAATCTTATAAAAACTTACAATTTCATTCGTAAAGGTATTTTAATCTTTAATATTTCTTACAATCCAAGCCTGAGTTGTCTTGTCAGATGTTTTTTTTTTAATGGCGATTATATATTGACGTTTAGTACATATAATTATTTGACGAATTTGACCGCCGGGTCAAAATAGACGACGTGTTAAACATACACAAATTCATGATTTTATTAAACTGTATTTGATGTGACAACTTAAGAAAGTTTAGCCAACATTTTGAATTATCCCATTATTTGATATTCACTGTTTAACAAAATTGTCCCATTTAAAAAAAAATTATTCTCACAATTTCACCATTGCATTGTTTAACTATGACTTTTAAAAAATTTTTTGGTATGATTTAACAATTCTAGAACCTTTTTACACAACAATCCATTGATAAATAGTATTGTTAAAAAAATAGTTTCTCGCCTTGAATTAGTATTTTCCAATCTAATTTCTAATTTTTGCAACAAAATGACATTGTCCTTAGATATCTCAAACTATGAAATATCAAAGGTTTACACCATGAGGTTTAACAGATTAAGGATTAGAAAATCAAAGTTTGAGACATGTTCCTTACTACTCATTCTACCCACCGCTAAGATTGACTTGTTAAAATATTATTATACCATTTTCTTATTTTGTAGCAGTGTACAGATTGTTAGTTACAATATTGAATCACAAATATGTTAGAAATATTAATTTTAATTATTTTATTCAATTGTTGAAATGCTTATTTATTTGAATAACTTATAAAATGTTGGCAACTCTGGTTTTCAAGTGTACAGTACTTCATAACTCAATGTTTCTATGTATGGCTAGAATTTTTTTTACTATTTGTATCAATGCTACCAGCAATGCACAATGTTTTAAATCTATAGGAATGAACTTACTTAAATTTACAGCTATGTCAATAAAACTATTATGTATTATATATATAAAAAAATTAGTTTTAATAATTTTGATTAGGTGATTATAGTTTCAGATGAAAATGGCCGGATGAGAGTAACAAAAAAAGCTTAGTTTTATGTTAATGATGAAAATCTAGCCCTCATCGAAATCAAATCGAAAGGCGGGAAATTCAAGGACTGTAAACGTTATCTTAATTGTGACTTTCGAACTCCAGAAGGCCACGCTTTACATCGGCACACTTCAAACTTGTATCCAGTGCTTAGGATCCGGATCCCATGGATCCGCAAGATTTTGGCGTCCTGGATCCGGATCCAAGGGGTAAATTATCAACCAAAATGTGCAACAAAAAAATTTTTACTCTCAACCCAAATCTGAACTTTAGAAAAAGGACAGATTATTCCTGATTTCTGATTGTTTCATCAAGATGCAAAAAATTAATCGAAAAAAAAAATTTGAAAATTCTGCTGTGTTTAAACAATTCAGTAAAAAATAATTAACCCGGATCCGTATTTTCCAGTGCGGATCCAGGATCCGGATCTGCATCAAATTTAAATGGATCCTAAGCACTGTAGTTTAATGATATCAATAATCGATATTTTCTAGCTTGAAAAGTGTTTTATTCTCAGAATTTCTTCCATTGTTTCTGTTGCAAGAAATCTTTTTTAGGGAAATCATTATAACCAGTATTTTAAGGAGAAGATAATGGATCTTATTCATTCGGGATCAGTCAAAGTTTTTTTTGGGTATCATTGGGTATTTGGACATGCCGTTTCTTATAAGTGGGAATTGAAATTATTCCCTATAAATAGTTTAAATCAATCAACTCCTGTTTTAAGTCTCAAAAAATTGTGTTTTAACTACGACATTCAAACACTTTTACTTCGATTTTTATAATTGATTCACGATTACATAAAATACAAGTAAAGTATGTGTATAAGTAAGTAATTATACGGGTATAAAAGATAATTTTTATTTAACATCGCGTAGAATTGATGAAATATGATATTTTAAAACAACTTAAAAAGGATTGTTAAGTAGAATGTCCTAATCAGAACGATACGCTTAATCTGAGCAGTATCTGGTTACAGATCTTAATCTGAGCAGTATCTGGTTTCAGATCTTAATCTGAGCAGTATCTAGTTACAGATCTTAATCTGAGCAGTATCTAGTTTCAGATCTTAATCTGAGCAGTATCTAGTT